CTGACTTTCCTCACCCTACTCCTCGACCTCTCCTGCCACTCGACCTCCATCGGCCCCCTTTCCTGATGACTCCCTCCTGTTCGTCCTCCGACGCTGCAAAAGCCTGAGCCAACTCAGAAGCTGAACGCGCTGACGACAACAACGGGCGACCCATGACGGACGACGAACGACCGACCACAGACGACCCGCGACGGACGACCGACGACGGACGACCGACGACGACGACGACGACGGACAACCGACGACGACGACGACGACGACGACGACGGACAACCGAAAGACGGCGGTCGGCGGACGACGACGGGCAACCGACGACGACGGGCGATGATGCGCCGTCGCCTGTGGACCTGCAGGCTCCCTGGCCCAAACGCCAGAGGAGGGTCAGGCCGCCGCGGCGCTCCTGGCGGCGCCGGCGCAGGAGACTGGAAAGAGGAGGATGAGGAGGGAAAGGAGAAGGAGGAGGAGGAGGCAGAGGAGGAGAGGGAGGATGAGGAGGAGGAGAAGGAGAAGGAGGAGGAGGAGGAGGAGGAGGAGGAGGAGGAGGAGGAGGGAGGAGGAGGAGGAAGAGCAGGAGGAGGAGGAACATGAGGAGGAGGAAGAGGAGGAGAAGAAAGAAAAGGATGAGGAGGCGGAGGAAGAGGAGGTTGAGGAGGAGGAGGAGGAGGAGGGAGGAGGAAGAGCAGGAGGAGGAGGAAGATGAGGAGGAGGAAGAGGAGGAGAAGAAAGAAAAGGAGGAGGAGGCGGAGGAGGAGGAGGAGGAGGAGGAGGAGGAGGAGAAGCCAACGTCGCCTTGCGGCCACGTCCAGTCGGGGCTAGGCCGCGCGCCTGCCGCGCGCGCCGCCGCCCGCGCTGCCGCCGCGCGAGGCTGCCTCGACGCCTCCACGGGCAGCAGCTGGAGCGTGGAGATGCTGGGCGCCATCGCGCTGAATAGCGGTACCAGCACCTCCATGAAGAGAGGCAGGGAGCCGCAGAGCCTGTCTGGCTGCCAGCACCGCTTCACTTTTAGTGGTGGCAGTCGGCCTCGAAGGCAGCCGAGGAGCGCCTCATGAGGCCCTTGATGATCGAGTGGTGCGTCCTTTCCGCCACCGCCAGCCTGGTTGCTACGTGCTTGTAGCGGTCGTCATCGCTCGGCGCGGTAGGACAGTTCACCGCATGGATACCAAGCCGAGCCAGCACGCACGGGTTGAGTTGCCCTCGCGGGTGGGCACGCACATGCCACAGCATAGCACAGATGATGAATTGCCAGATGGAGTCCGCGCAGTAAGCAGGGTCGCATCCGAAGATGCGGCCGCGACGCTCTAGCTGGACATGGATCCGATAGCTGGTGACCCACGCCCCAGCAAGCGATTTCATGACGGGCCAGGACCTCGAAGGTGACTACTGTGCCAGGTAGGCTCGCATCTTCCGCCCATGGATCTTCACCGATCCAGGCAGCTGGCGCAGCTCGGTCAGGTCGTTGGCCGCCGCCGCCGCCTACACGTTGAGCTGCTTGTTCTCGATCTTCAGCAGCGCGGCCCCCGTAGGGTCGTTGACCCGGTCAGACGCCAGAAGCCACTCGCGACGACGACGATGTTCGGCCACCGCCATGTTGAACAGCAGCTGCGCCTCGGACGCGCGCGGCAGGCGATCCATTAAGGCGGCTCTCATCCGCCTATGTTTCGCCGGCTCTTCCCATGCGCGGAGGCAATGTTTCGGGCGCGCATGCGCAGCTGAGGAACGTCCATATCATCCTGTAACACGAAAGCACTGTCGGAGCAGGATAGCAAATACATACACCTCGCACCACTCTGGCCAATTGTCCTCCCGCCGTTGGGTGAAGTTCCAGTTGTCGAAGTAGAAGCCGGGGAGCCAATCGTGGACCCAATGTGCGAAGACTTCGGCATGTGTGCCCAGCTTGCGTACCGCGTCAATCAAATCTTCGTCGGTGTAGCCTAGGGTTGACAGTCGCAATGGTTGCAACGTCCGACCTTCGGGCGCGATAGGAAGAGTAGGGAACCGCGAGCGCAGCCGCTTAGCGATGGTGATGTCAAATTTGCCCTCGTATAGTCGTCGCTGTAGTTCGTGCAGTTAGGTGGACTGCGGCGACTCGCGCGGGACCTCCCCGTTCCTGACAGGAGGCGCCGCGCTTACCTGTTCGGCAGCCGCATGGGCACGCCGATGTGCAAGAAGCACACGACGATCGGCTCGATCAGCAAAGTATAGCCTCCGACGGACTGCGAGGAGGATGGGCCCCTTGCCCGCGGGGAAGACGTGGCCGTGGTCAGCAGCACGCAGGCGTTGTGCAATCGAGGTGGGCGCCGCCCAGCACGGCGCACGCAGGCGCCCGGCCACGCATTGAACAATGGGCAGGTGCAGGTCGGCGGCCTGAGACAGCATGGCATGCATCTGCGGCAAAATCTCGATGGCGGTGGTGGCGGCTCTCCACAAAGTAGCTCCAAGGAGTACCTCAGCCCAATGCCGCACTAACGGCAATGTTGGTTAACGGCGATGTCGGGAATCCGACTTTTGTGACGTCGAGCTCGCGCAGAACAAAAGGTAGGAAATCACGAACCACACGTTCCTACATTTCAAATGTGCGAATGTCTCGAGCGAACACGGCGCATCGAATTGTAGGAAAAAGCGAACCGCGATGTCCTACAATTGGCTTGGCCATGAGGCACTCCCACCTACAATGCCGAAAACTACATCGCCGTTACCTATATCGCCGTTAGCGCGACTACGGTCAGCTCCCAATGGAATCTCCGCGCCAGCCCGCAACTTCATACTCAGAATGTCGAGTTTGGAGAATGCCGGTGGTGCTGCTCGAATCGATTTGTGCAGCACATGCATCTCTCGACTGAGCACAAATCTCGGGAACAGGGAGAAGCTCGCCGACGTGCGCCAGGTAGGTGATGTCGGCCGAGTCGTGCAGCAGGATGTTCTGCTGAATGGGCGCGTGGAAGTCGCCGAGCAGCATGGCGCGGTAGTGCCATATAGACGACGGAGCAGACCATTGAGCACGATCGTCAGCAACAGGTCCAAGGTAAACGCCAAAGTACTTCGCCTTGCCCTCCACCTTGAATAACGCCCGTTCGCTGAGAATGAGACCGAGCGCCTGCTTGATGTCAGCACCGAGGTCGTGTGCGAGGGTGGTCCACACTGGCACCAGGACGCACTTGCGAGGCTGAAGGTGCAGACAAGCATGCCGAGCAATCGCACGCACGTGAAGAAGCTGGCCTGGAATGTCCTCCAGACGGGCCATCGCGCAGCCGATATCAACGGCGGAAGCACTGGCCATGCCACGGCCAATCGAAATGCAATGCCGTTGGACTCCGCGCAACATCGGGTCCAACACCAGGGCCCATCTCGAACAACTAAGTGAGCACTGCTGGGCCACTCCACCTGCAGCAATGAAATAGAGCGTCGCTGCCCACCGAGTCCCAGGACCGCGACGGGGTCGAAGCAGAACGCCTGGAGGAGGTTAGAAGCACGGCTGGTGCTGGCCCGCGTCGGGAAGATGCCGTAGAGCCTGCTGTGCGCGTCTGCCTCGACGATGCTGTTGAGAAGCTGACGCCCAAGAACGAGGCCGCGATAAATGCCCGACACCCGCTTGACCAGCGGGCGGAGTTTGCGATTTGTGGCCGAAGCGACGATTTTGATGTCCGAATTCTTCGTCGCGAGCGGGCGAAGCTGATCTGGCGCCCTCGCGCAGGCCGCTTGATCGGCCCCATCTTCACCCTTCGGGGGCATGGCGAGCAGCGCGTAGTTCATGTCGTGCGTGATCCGAGTCCTGCAGCAGCGACGCGACATCTGGCCATCGCCGCGTGTTCCTGTTCTTCTTCTTCGAACAATTTAAACAGAGATCGATGCACATTATGTAGCTAACCAGCGACTCAAGATCCCCAAGGATCTGTTTGTGCGAGCAGAGCCGATTGGCTCCGTCCAGGGCCCAGAAGCAAGGAGACAACCGAGGCAAAAGACGAGCCCAAACGGGCTCCACTATCGGGCGTGTTGCACAGTGGGGCACATCCTCTCCACCCTCTCCTCCCAAATTCGCACGCACGAAGGCGCACCCAGCAGTTCCCATATGATGCCTACGAGTGGTAATCCACGCGTTACATAAACAGATCGGAACAAGTGGCACGCGTGCCCTGGCTCTTGCACAAAGGTGTCCGAGGCTCAGGGGGGCTGCCCTGGGAAGCCTGGGCGAGGGGGGGGCGAGGGGGAAAATAAAAGGTTCCGTGGCCCAGGGGGGCTGCCCTGGGAAGCCTGGACGGGCTGCTCTGGGAAGGCTGGACTGGATGGGAGGCAGGGGGGGGTGCGGGCCAGGGCCAGGGGGACGACCAGGGCCAGGGGGACGAACGACACGAACGACGAACGACACGAAAATAAAGGGTTCCGTGGCCCAGGGGGGCTGCCCTGGGAAGCCTGGACGGGCTGCCCTGGGATGCCTGGACGCGGGGCAGGGGGGGGTGCGGGCCAGGGCCAGGGGGCGACCAGGGCCAGGGGGACGAACGACACGAACGACGAACGACACGAAAATAAAGGGTTCCGTGGCCCAGGGGGGCTGCCCTGGGAAGCCTGGACGGGCTGCCCTGGGATGCCTGGACGCGGGGCAGGGGGGGGGTGAGGGCCAGGGCCAGGGGGCGACCAGGGCCAGGGGGACGAACGACACGAACGACGAACGACACGAAAATAAAGATGTCCGAGCTCTAGGGCACAGCTGTGCAAGAGAATAAAGGGTTCCGTGGCCCAGGGGGGCTGCCCTGGGAAGCCTGGACGGTCTGCTCTGGGATGCCTGGACGGGGGGCAGGGGGGGGTGAGGGCCAGGGCCAGGGGACGACCAGGGCCAGGGGGACGAACGACACGAAAATAAAGATGTCCGAGCTCTAGAGCACAGCTGTGCAAGAGAATAAATGCTAGCACCTGAGACATGGGAACACCTTGACCTATACGTCCTAGCCTAATCGCGAGCTGTATCTCAGTTTCTTGCGAGACCTGGGGGTCCCAGCGAATACCCTGCCTTTGCAACCAACCGACGACGACGACGGAGGAGGGGAGGGGGATGGGGAGGCGGGGGGAATGCAGGAGCGAGAGGGGAGAGGAACGAATGGGCACGGGAGGGCAGAACGGGAGAGAGTCGGCGATGAAGGGGGACAGGGCTTGGACACTCGCTCAAGAGCGCCAAGATGCAACGTTGGATCCCGTCGAAGGCCCGCAGCAAGCGAAGTCTGGCGCCGCCAAACTTTCCGAGGCCAGCCAATGGCCTGGAGGCAACGACCAACCACACAACTCCCCCGGGCCCACCTCACCCTGCTGCATGCCCCGGCTCGTTCGCGCCACGTCTGATCCCATGCGCCGTGGAGGCCATGCCCGACCAGGTGGCTCGACCACCGGGCCGCTCGACCGTCCGAGCTCACCCCGACGGCGGGACGAATCAGCATCGAATCGGCCGGAAGTCGGATCGAGTCGAGATGAGCGTCGGACCAGGCTGCACAACATCGCCATGCGAGCACCTGGCCGCATCGGATCGTCGGACTCTCGGAATCGAATCGGCCCAGACGAGCCTGGATCGACATCGAATCGGATCGAAATGCGCCCCGAATGGCGGCTGTGCCCTCCCCTTCAAGAGAAGGGCCACGACTGATCCCTTAGCATGACGGAAACAAGTCCTCAGGGACACGGGTCCTGGACCCCAGCGCCTTCCCCGGGACCCACTCTTCGTCCTGAACTGTTTCGTGACAGTCCCAGGGCCCTTGGGGGGCCACGGGAAGTGACAATATTTGAAACAACAACTGAGGGCCAATTTCCCTCAGGACCCGTTTCCTTCATGGCTACAATAATCCCACGCGCCGTTGAAGCCGTGGCCGACTGCGCAGCTCGACCACCGGCCCGCTCGACTGCCCGAGCTATGACTCCAAGACGGCGGCCCTGGCCTCTCGCACAGGGGCAAGAAGTCCGAGCCCTGCGGTGGAACCCCCCTGGACCCTAGACATGAGTATTGAGGGTGTGGCACTGGACGGGGCTTGGGTGGACAAACGTACTCCAGATTTCGTAATAGAGGGAGGGGGATCTCATTTCGGGGGGGGGTCTCTTCCAGGCTATCTTGGAGGGCCTGGGGGGGTCTGGGGACGATGTTTTGGAGGGTTCTCCCACGGGGGGGGGTCTGAAATTGCTTGTCTTGGAGGGTCCAGACCCCCTCCCTTTTATTGCGAAATCTGGAGTACTCGAACACCCAAACTTCGCGGGCGGGGGGGTGATAGACGTCCCCCTCAGGTGTGTGAGGGTTCGATTCTATTGTCCCTGCACAGTCAGCCCGTATAGCAAGGATGCGCGATAAGGGTGCAAGGGCCTCGGAGGTCCATTTTGAAGCTTTTCGGGCGGAGTGCGGCCAACGAAAGAGGTCAAGGAAGGACCTTGGGACGGCTGACCATCCTTGCCATGCGGGTTGGCGACTCCGAAGGTTGTGCTCTGCAGCCCGTACCCCGGGGGGCGGGTCAGGACCTCGACGGGCCGTGAGTCCGGGCGGCCCGACGAGGGCCACGTGGTGCCCTGCGAGCCCCAGCCGACGCAGCTCGCAAGCCATACCCCAGCACAACCACGCGCGCTGCACAGCCGAAGACATGACCAAGAAACTTATCATATTAGAAATCTGGGGCTTCCCTTAAGTCTGGCGCGTCCCCCATACAGAGGGATTTTTGACGAAGAATAAACAATACCCTCAAAATGCTCCAAAAGGGTAAGAAAATATTGTTAAAATAGTCCCCAGACTATGTTTTGACTATTTTTTTGAATATTCCCCCTGTAGAGGGACAGGCCCGACTTAAGGCTGCCCGCAAGCTTCTGAAAACCAAGCTGGGCCAGGGCCTGTGCTTCACGCGGGAGGGACGGCCATGCTCCAGAAACTGGCCCAGCCTTCCGCCAAGTTGATCGAGAATCGAGACACGCTGGCCTGGACGGTTTCCCCTGGGGCCGTGGGCGACCCGAGGAGGGGAGGGCGAGGAGGGGGAGGAGGAAGAGGAGGAGGAGGAGGAGGAGGAGGAGGAGGAGGAGGAGGGGGAGGAGGAGGAGGAGGAGGAGGAGGCGGCGGAGCAGGAGAGAGGACAGGTCGCCGAAATCCTTCGGAGAAACCCTCCGCGCTGGCCCACCCTTTCGGGAGGAGGCCTCTTCATCGGATGCCCGCCGGGTGTCGCCGAGCACCGCCCTCTTCAAGAGGAGGGCCCGGCGGGGGCGGGCGAGGACCCCGTGGCCTGGGGCGGGCGAGGGTTCCCGTGGCCCGGGGCGGAGGGCGGCCCGACGATGGCCACGCGGTGCCCCGCAAGCCCCATAACCGACGCAGGCTTTTTGCTTTCCCTCGGCAACGCATCACACAGCAGATGCTTGAGGTGGACCAACAAGGCGGCAGTGCCACGGACGCGGTACTACGCCCAGTCCGCAAAACAGCTCCTCCCTGCCGCGCAAAGCCATAACCGACGCAGGCCGCAAACCACACCCCGGCGTAGCCACACGCCTTGCAGCCACAGTGTGCCGCCCCCCTCAAGAGGAGGGCCCCGGGCGGTGTCCTCGGCAGGAATGCGCCTGAGGGCCAGCACCAGCGCGTCCTGCGCGGGCGGCTGGTGCCCACCGACCCGCGACACCAGGCGGGCCAGACGGAGGACGGGGGCCGCCAAGAGGAGAGCGTCCACGAGGGGGGTTCTCGCCGCCGCCGTCGTCGTCGTCATCGTCGTCGTCGTCGTCGTCGTCGTCGTCGTCGTCGTCCCTCTTTGCGGGTCGGCGGCTCCGGCCGCAGGGGGCTCGCGGAGCAGGGCCCCAGGCTATGTGCGCGGCCGCGGCGGGGCCCAAGGGACGTCTTGAAAGAAGGGTGGGGGAGGCCTTGAGATCTAGGGAGATGTTTTTGCACTGCTTCAGGGGAGCGTCTGGAACCAGAAATGCATCAAGGAAAAGTCAGCCAGTACGATTGGGCGACACATGCATGTGAGAGTGTGCCACCTGCAGCCACAACGGCTCGACGTAACCTGTCAGAGAGGCGCCTACTCGTTCAGGCTCACGGGTTGCATGGGCCCCTGTTCGGCCCTGTTCAGGCACTCAGATAACCGCATCCCTGGATAAGAAGGCGTCCCCCATTTCCTCTTGTTTGTCAACGCGATTGAATCTGGTGCAATTGAAACAGCAGGCGGGGAGGCCAAACTTTATTATCCCCTCCAAAAGGGATGTCATGAGAGAAGAGTGGGGGAGGCCTTGAGATCTGGGGAGGTGACCGCATCCCCCAGATAACAAGGCTTGGCGGTTGACAAACCTCCCTTTAGTAAACCTCCCCTTAGTGAAAACCGCCTGGGACCGAAACCGAAAGACCTGGACCCGCAAAAATAGCGGCCGCGACGCCCTCTCGCGGGCCGAAAACGGTAGATTCCTTAATCGACGTGTCATGATAGGAGGTCTATCCACATCCGAAAGGCATCCCCCATTTCCTCTTGTTTGCCAGCGGGATTGACTGTGGTGCAATTGAAGCAGCAGGCGGGGAGGACACACTTCAGTATCCCCTCCAAAGTCCTATCGTAGCTCTGCTTGTAAGGACGTCTCAGGCGAAACGCGATCCAAACATCGTAACGCCGATATCTCCGGAAAAAATTATCCCGCCTGGACCCCGAACTTTCTATCCCGCCTGGATTCCGTCGTCGTCGTCGTCGTCGTCGCCATCGTCGTCTTCGTTGTCGTCCCCCTTCAGGGTCGGCGGCACCAGGCGCAAGGGGCTCGCAGAGCATGGCCCAAGGCATGTGCGCGGACGCGGCGGGCCCGGATGTCATGAAAGAAGAGTGGGGGAGGCCTTGAGATCTGGGGAGATACCTTGGGCCCCGCCATGATGTCCCCCGCCTAGTCATCAACGCCCACTTCCCAGACATCCGCCGATATGACTTTCTTCATCCGCGGCCCCACGAGTTCCCGACCCCTTCCCCGGGGGTGTTTTTTCTTCCAGGGTCCACTTCTGATGGTCCCCGGGCCCGAGAGCGGGACCTGGAGGCCGCAATCCAGGACAAAACTCCGGAGTGAGAAAATCCTATCCTCGGATCTCTGGCTCCGACACTCTCGAGAAAAGGGGGCGGATCGCAACGGGCAGGGGTTAGCGAGTCAGCGTGCGCAGCTGGCTCCCCCGGCACCTCCCGGCGCGGGCAACACCACGCACGGACCAGAGCGCCCGGCGGCGGCAGCGGAACCGGCTCCATGCGGCATCTTTCGCGACCCTCCTCGATGATCCTCAGCACGTGTGGTACAGTCGGGGCCTTGACCTAAGGAACCCAAAATAAGGAACGAGGCCCCTTTTTTCCATAAGTTAAACTTCGATTTCCGATCGAAAACATAAGGAAAACCTGAGGCAAGCTGCGAAACACTTAAGGAACGCGGAGCCTCTCCCCAACGAAAAGGGTTCCTTCTTCAGGGCCCCGACTGTAGCGCCAACGTGTGTTTGCTCACCGAGGCCCTTCAACACGACGCAGGCGGCGCAACGAGGGCCGACGCAGGCTGCGCGCGATCGGCGGGAGCGAACGGGGCAACACACACGCTTGGGCTCACACACGTCCTATGGATCATCGACCCCCGTTCCCCCACCCCCCGATTCCGTCCGACCCGATCCCCAGCCCGTGGGCGCGGCGATTGCCCGACCCAGCCTGCCGAGAAACGAGGGAGCCGATGGACGCCACGAGAGCAAACACAGCGCACTGCCAGGACATCTCCGGGACGCCCCCTGCTCCAGACCCCCGTGCCCAGATCACCCGTTGCCAAAGACTTCCAGAAACGCTCTGGACGAACTGGTCGCGACCGAAATTCGGCCTCTTGTCGCGAACTCCTGTAACCGAGCCGTCGACGTCTTTGCCGGACACGTCCGGCCGCGGATGATCTGGGCCCGCAGCTGATGGGCCTGTTTCCCACCACCACCACCATCAGTTGGAGGGGGGAAGGAGGTGGAGGAGGAGGAGGAGGAGGAGGAGGAGGAGGAGGAGGAGGAGGAGGAGCCCTCCCACTTCAACTTATGGTGGTGGTGGTGGTGGAAAACAGGCCCATCAGCAGCCCCAGGCCACCCGTGAGAAAGGCCAGGGGGAGGGAGCGCGTCGACGAGCCAATCCCTCGCGGTTGCGCCTTCCCCCTCGGCGAGGCAGGAGGCCGTCGTCGCCTGCGCGACGGGGCCCCCGCCGACAGCACGCGGCAGCGGCATGGGGCGCAGAGAGGCGGGCACAGTGCAGGGTCAATCCTCATCGCATCGGAATCTCGGATCGGAGCGGGGCACGCATCGAATCGGGCCGCATCGACACGGAGCCGGAATCGACGCGCGTCGGCCGCGCCAGGATGCACAGCAGCGCCGCACGAGCATCGGGCCGCATCGGATCGTCGGGACATCGAAGTCTAATCGGATCGAGCCGGCCGAAATCAAGATCACATCGGATCGGTCAGATCGAAGTGGACCCTGCATAGGGCGCAGGGTGGTGGGCGCATTTTGCTCAAGGACGTCCAGCACCAGCGTGGCGCCGAGCACGCGCCAGACCTCGGGAGGCGCCGCGTGCTGCACCTGGCGAGGCAACCGCGGCGGACGGTGCGGCAGGCGGAAGACTGGCAAGCGGACTGGTGCAACGATGCGGGCCGACAAGACGAGGCCCTGGACTCTGCTTCAAGGTCTCCTCGAACAAGTCATCGCTCCGACAGGCAAGGGGGCAATGTGATACCCATTTTGCTGGTAGCATGCGAGATACCGAACGCCGTTCGAACATCCAAGCATCCCCTCCAGAACACAGCGATAGTAATGCCGACGACGGGGCGCATGCACTGTGCACATATAGCAAGACATTGATGCCCGCGGCACCGGAGGGAGCGCCCACACCACCTGGCGGAAGAGCACCAACATGCAGAAAGCAATCTTGGCGATGGACACGCGGGCCAGGTAGTCTTGCGGCCGTCCATTTCAACAATTCGCAGCTCGCTCGCCATCGGTCGTCTGTGCACCCCGCCCAGCCCCACTATGCTTCTCGCTAGCTCAGGGGGCCAGGCCTGCCGCTTGAGGTAGACTTGCTCCACCTCCCACCTCCTCCAGAGGTGCGCCTCTAGGGTGACAGCCCCGACGTGCGCTTCGAGCTGGAGGAGTGGGCGCCTCCTGGGCGCCTCGAGTTGGCTGGGAGTTCCAGATTCCGCCTGGTGGGCGCACCACAGAGCCTCCAGCACATCGCTTACACCACACAGCGTGACTCACGGAACCTGCACCACGTAGAGTCACAGAGCTTGCGCCACATAGCTTGCACCATCAGGAGGGCAACCCATGGATTGCCCCACATGCTTGCACCACAGAGCTTGCGCCGCATAGCTTGCACCACATGAGTTGCACCAGCTAGCTTGCTCCAAATAGCATTGCCCACATATGTTGCACAACATAACTTGCACCAGAGGAGGGCGTTCGACGTATGGATTGCGCACATAGTTTACACATCCAGAGTGCGAGACCTCAATGCCTGGGGTCCTCGCTGGCAAGCGGTGATCCCCTGTAGATTTTGCATGATTTTGAAGGTTCGCAAATTTTCTCGGGCCTCCAACGCTCCAAAACGGCCCAAGTAGCCCCAAAGACCACCCCTAATACGGCTCAAAAGGCCCCCAAGAAATCACAACACGGCCCAAAAGGGCCCCCACCCCAATGCGGCCCAGGAGGCCCCCAATACGGCCCACGAGGCCCCCAGAACGGCCCCGAGAGAGGTCCAACAGGGAAACGCGAAAGGGCCTCGGAAGCCTGTCCCCAAACGATTGCCCCATCGACCCCAAACATGCTCCCAGTAGCCCCCAGAAGCGCCCAGGGTGCCCCAAGCGGTACCCAGAAGGCCTCCAAGAGGCCCACGTCAGAGGCTCCCAAGAGGCCCCACTAGCCTTGTTAAGAGGCTTCCAGTAGCCCCCTGAGAGGCATCCAAAGAGACCCCAACAACCATGCAAGAGGTCTCCGGCCACCACAACCCGGACGTGCTCGCGGGATGGGCCGAAGGCCACTAGGTCCGCCGCCCCCTTGTCGATTCATCGCAGGGGTGCCTGGCGTGCCAGACGATTTCGGTGTTGGTTCTTTTTCCAAAAGAACTCCCCCTGGGGCTTCGGCCCGTCCCGGCGGCCACCCGTAAGGGATCTTCCAGAGGTGGTTGCCGAGGGTTTTCGTGCCCCGCGTGGCTCCGAGATGTCCCAAGATGGCCTCCAAGACGTGTCCAAGACGGCCAAGATGGCGTCCAAGACGGCTAAGATGGCCCCGAAATGCCTCCGAGGCGGCCCAAGATGCACCCAAGACGGCCTAAGATAAGCCTCAAGATGTCCAGACGGCCCAAGAGGCCCCCAAGAGCCCCCCCAAGAGGTCCTCAAGGAGGGCCCGAAGAGGCCAAAATCAGTGATTTTCCTGCGGTTCTTGAAAGATTTTGGCATGTGCTTCTTCTCGGCATTCCGACGGCTGAAGACGATCCAATAGGCTCCCAAGATCGCCCCAAGATCGCCCACGAGGTCTCCAAGATGGCCTCATGACGGCCCAAGAGGCCCCCAAGAGGCCCCCAAGAGGCCCCCAAGCGGGCCCCAAGACGGCCCAAGAGGCCTCCAAGACGCCCAAGATGGCCTCCAAGACGGCTAAGATGGCCTGACCCCAAGATACCTCCAACACGGCCCAAGATGCGCCCAAGACTGCCTGAGATGGCCTCCAGATGGCCTCAGACGGTTCAAAAGGCCCCAAGAGGCCTCCAAGACGGCCCACGAGGCCTCCAAGAGGTCCTCCAGGAGGCCCCGAGGAGGCCAAAATAAGTGATGTTCCTTCGGCTTTTGAAGGATTTTGGCATTTGCTTCTTTTCGGCATTCCGACGGCTGAAGACGGCCTAAGAGGCCCCAAAGATTGGCCCCATGACGGCCCAAGAGGCCCCCAAGACGGCCCCAAGATGGCCCAAGAGGCATTCAAGACGGCCAACATGGCCTCCAAGACAGCTAAGATGGCCCCAAGATGCATCCAAGACGGCCCAAGATGCACCCAAGACGGCCTCAAGATGGCCCAAGGCGGCCCAAGAGGCCCCCAAGAGGCCTCCAAGATTGCCCAAAAGGCGTCCAGGAGGTCTCCCAGGAGGAGACGGCGAGGCATAAAGCATTGATTTGCACCAGGTTTTCGAAGGACTTTGGCATTTGCTTCTTCTCAGCATTCCGACGGCTGACGATGGCCCAAGAGGCCCCCAAGAGGCCCCCAAGCGGGCCCCAAGACGGCCCAAGAGGCCTCCAAGACGCCCAAGATGGCCTCCAAGACGGCTAAGATGGCCTGACCCCAAGATACCTCCAACACGGCCCAAGATGCGCCCAAGACTGCCTGAGATGGCCTCCAGATGGCCTCAGACGGTTCAAAAGGCCCCAAGAGGCCTCCAAGACGGCCCACGAGGCCTCCAAGAGGTCCTCCAGGAGGCCCCGAGGAGGCCAAAATAAGTGATGTTCCTTAGGCTTTTGAAGGGTTTTGGCATTTGCTTCTTTTCGGCATTCCGACGGCTGACGACGGCCTAAGAGGCCCCAAAGATCGCCAACGAGGCATCCAAGATGGCCCCATGACGGCCCAAGAGGCCCCCAAGACGGCCCCAAGAGGGCCCAAGAGGCATTCAAGACGGCCAACATGGCCTCCGAGACAGCTAAGATGGCCCCAAGATGCATCCAAGACGGCCCAAGATGCACCCAAGACGGCCTCAAGATGGCCCAAGGCGGCCCAAGAGGCCCCCAAGAGGCCTCCAAGATTGCCCAAAAGGCGTCCAGGAGGTCTCCCAGGAGGAGACGGCGAGGCATAAAGCATTGATTTGCACCAGGTGTTCGAAGGACTTTGGCATTTGCTTCTTCTCAGCATTCCGACGGCTGACGATGGCCCAAGAGGCCCCCAAGATCGCTCAAGAGGCCTGCAAGATTGCCCCATGACGGCCCACAAGGCCCCCAAGACGGCCCCAAGAGGGCCCCAAAACGGCCCAAGAAGCCTCCAAGACGCCGAAGATGGCCTCTAAGAACACCTGATATAACCCAAGAGGGCACCAAGACGACGCAGACAGGCCCCCAAGACAGCTTTCGACGGCGTCAGACAAGCCAGGAACGCCCTAAGACAGCCAAAGAGGCCCCAAGAAGCCCCCAAAGGCATCCAAAAACCCTCGAAGAGGCCCCCAGGAAACTCCCAGGAGGCCACAAGAGTGCCCCAAGAGGCGCCCAAGAGGCCTCCTCCTCCTCCTCCTCCTGTTTCTTCCTCATCCTCCCCCTCCTTTTCTTGCTCCCCCATGCGTTCCCCGAAGTCTTTCTAATCCGACTCGGGGAACAACTGGCACGATAGCTTGGCCAAGCTCTGGCCCAGCTGTCGGCCACAGAGGCGCTTCCAAAGGGGCAAAGGGCGGCGGTGATTCGCCGTAGGCGTCTTCGATACTTTGGAATACACTGCACGCCACGTCGGCATGCCACACTGTACTACAATACGGTACACTGAACACAACTGCGTTGCGTGCCGAATTGCATTGCAGAGTATCATGTTGATTTGATGCCACATTCAAAACACTGCCACGACGTCGCACAACAGCACACCGCGTCGAATTTCACCGTGATGCATTGCGCTGCGTTAGGTTGCAACACGCTGCGCTGAAACAAAACTGCGCCGTACACGTCAACGCGCCAGACTGCAACGGACTGCATTGCATCACGTGACGTGGTCGACCATCCGAGCTTGACTCCAGATACAACGTGAATTCAAGCTACATTGCTTTTGCTTGCGCTACATTTCGCTAACTAGCGACGCGCGTTAAAGCCGCACGTCCTCAACCTGACCTGGTTGGAATACGCAGTTGGTGTGCGCAGCGAATTGCTATATGAACTTCCACTCGACTTTAACTGAAACGTATCTTCTCGAAAGAACGCCCGATAAGTAAAAAAATGCACCAGGCACTGCTACGGGGGGTCACCACCAGGGGGGTCGCCACTCCCTACGCAACGGAAGCGCCCTTTGCCATACGGTGGAGGCCAGTCCACAAGAAACCTTCCACAAGAAACCAAACCCCAAGACCCCAGGACGTCCATGGATTTCTGGCGTGGGGACGTCGCGCTCTCGATCGCAAAACCATCGAAACCCAAGAAACCCAAGGCACCCTGGAGGCAAGCAGGGTGTTTCTTGGCATGGGCACCCCCTGTAGGAGCAAACCTCTCCCAGAACACTCCGGCGACCCCCAAAACGAACTCACACGTCCAAACACCTCCTGGAGCTTCGATCCAGGAGCCTCGGTTCTCAGGGAGGAACCGGTGACAACCTCCTGTGGTGACCGGCGACCCCACGTTGGCACTGCCCGACTGCACGAGCGCTCCTTCGCCCAGCAACGTCACCGGGCGGCCGAAGGCACTCAAGGCTTGCTGCGCCACCACGACGAGGGCCAAGAACAGCGCCAACTGCGCGCCCGCCCTCGGTCGCGAAGGGATGGGGATAACATGTACCAGCCAAGCCCATGCACAAAGGACAGCAACGCCTACTAATGACGTCTCCCAGTGCATCCGTACCTTTGGCTATGCCGCTCAACTGCTCACCTGATTTGGTGCAAGCCTTCTGCGTGTAGTGGTGGCGGGTCAACAAGGCATCTGTCGTGGGCATGCTGAGGCTGGGAGCCGACAAGCACGTCATCAACCAGCAGCACAGTCGCATCACTTGCCCCAGGCCGTTCCTGCAGCCTCCCCATCTCGGGAGCGGCCAAGAGGGGGGTGTCCAAGAGGGGGGGGGTGCAAATCATGACCGGCGGCATGTGCGCGGCCCAGCGGGGGGGCCAGGAACGTAATGAAATAAGAAGAGGCGCCATGAAATCTGGGGAAAAATCGTGGCCCACGCCATGATATCCACCCCCCCCTAGTCATCACCCCCCTCTTTTCCGCCCCCGACCATCGTGGCCCCGCCATGGACGGACACGGAGCCACCTTGCTGGCTAAACGTGCGGCGAGCCTCGCTGCCCTCGGCGCGCCAGGCTGCACCGCGCACCGGCGTTTGCGGCGCGCGCTCCCCGCTCCTGACCCGGCAGAGCTCGGCGGCCGGGGGGAGGGGCGTCGGAGGCCCCCGCTCTCTGGGGGCAGCGGGAGCAGAGCCGGCGGCAGCCCCGAGGGAAGGCGCCACCACCTCCACGGTCAAGGTTGCCGGCAAAGCTCGGCGGCCGGGGGAAGGGCGTCGGAGGCCCCCGTTCTGGGAGCAGCGGGAACAGAGCCGGCGGCAGCCCCGAGGGAAGGCGCCACCACCGCCACGGCCAAGGTTGCAGAGGGTCGGGCGAAAGGGGGGATAGCAAAGGGGGGGGTTGAGAATCCGCTCACGCAGCTGATTCTCCCGGCGCCTCCCGGCGCCGGAGGCGGCCATGCATCGAGGAATGGGCCCCTCGGTGAGGCCGAAATCAGCTGCATGCAGCAAATTTCGTAACCCCCCCTTTCCCAATCCCCCCCTTTCGTCCAGCCCGAGTTGCAGAGGGTCCTCGTGGTGGTGCGGTGTCGCTGCTTTTGTTCGGGCGTCCCTGTCGCCGCATCTCCAATCTCCATCTGGGGGGGGGGGGAATCGCGGGCACCTCTGCTGTGGTGGTGCCGCGTCTCCTGTCCTCTCCGTCCGCCTGCCTGTCCTCCCCCCCTTCCTCCCTTCGCCCTCCGTTGCCTTCCCTCCCGCCTCCTCCCCCTCTCCTGTCTTCCTTCTCTTTTCTCGCGTCCTTCTGCCGTCCTCTTCCCAGGCCGAAGCCCTGCATAGCCCGTGCGCAACGACCCTACCTCGAAGGCATGAGCAGGTCTGGCCTGTAGGGAAGAGGAGGAGCAGGAGGGGAAGGGGACGGGGAGGGAGGGATGAGGAGGGGGGAGAGGGAGGAGGGGGAGGAGGAGGAGGACCAGTGCAAACCCAAGATTCGCCAACGAGGTTGCAATAACCCTCCCTCCTGCAAGCATGTACGTTCATTGCGGGGGGTGCCCCATTAGAAGACAACTGTCTCAGAATGTCCGATCGCGCCATCAACAATTCCTGGGACTTCAGCGCCGCGAATCAACGTGACGGCTGCGTCCTGACAGTCCTACATGGCACCAGAACACCACTCCTTCCTTAGACTTCAACACCACGAATCAACGTGACCGTTGTGTCCTGCCAGTCCTAAATCGCGCCAGAACGTAAGTTCGGGACTTCAATGATACGAATCCTTGAAAGTGCTGCGACATGTCAAAACTAATGTGCGCGGCGCTGATACGAGAACCACATGTTGGAAAGGAACCGCCCTCGATCCTTGCACGGTTGCGAGCTTTTCGAAACGAATGCGCGCGGCGCCAAGGCGACATACACATGTTATAAAAGGGCTGGCCCTCGATGGTTGCACGGTTGCGAACTTTTCAATGCGAGTGTGCTCGAAGCTAAGGCGAGAGCCACTTGTCGTAAAGGATCCACCCTTGCTCCTCGAAACTGCTGCGAACTATTAAATCGAATGTGCGCGGCGTTAGGGCGAGAGCCGCCGTTTTTTGAAAACGGCCCGCTCTGGAACGAATGTGTGCGGCACTCAGGCGAGAGTTACATTTTGAAACTAACAGGCCCTCGATCCTTGAAACTGTTGCGAGCTTTCATAGCGAGTGTGTGCGGCGTTACAGCGAGAGCCACATTTTGAAAAAGGACCCGCCCCGCCCTCACTACTCGAAGCTGTTGCAAACATTTACACGAATGCGCGCAGGTTGACAGCGAGAGTCATTGAAAAGGACCCGCCTCGATCCTTGAAGCTGCTGCATGCTTTTGAACCGAAAGTGCGCGGCGCAAATGCGAGAACAACATTTTGGAAAGAGACCGTCCTCCACCCTTGAAGCTGATGCGCGATGCAAACTTTAAAGCGAATGTGCGCGGCAGGCGAGAGACACATGATGAAAACCACCCATAACTGTTGCAGGTCTCGAGCTTCAGGATCCTAAGCGGTGAGGAAGTCTGAGGCGAAACGCCCGTCCCGCACGACAAACACGTCTCGGGGTGCGACAGGGGTGAATTAGTTTCAAGGAATAAAAAGATGTAGGAGGAGGAGGGGGAGGAGGGGGAGGGAGGAGGGGGAGGGAGGAAGGAGAGGGAGGAGGGGGAGAAGGGAGGAGGAGGAGGAGGAGGGACAGGAACAGGAGGATGAGGAGTAGGAGGAGGAGGACGAGGAGGAGCAGGAGGAGGAGGGAGGAGGAGGAGGGAGGAGGGAGGTTGGAGGAGGAGGAATAGCAGGAGGAGCGAGATTGCCCCGTGGGGGTGAGTTACGGGAGGGTCAGAATGCCACGCTGGCTCACCGCGAGACATTCGTGGGCCCTCCCCACCAACCGCCCCCAGCACCGCCAGAGAGCGCATGGGGGCCCAACTTCTGCAGCAATTCCTAGGGTCTACCATACCAAGTTGTTGGCCCTTGCACATCGACGCTCGTCGACGCGAATCGCCGCTAAATCGACGCTGGTCGACGCTAAATCGGTGCTATATCGGCGCTGTCTCACCGATGGCCCGACGATGGTGCACGCTAGTTCATCCTAAAGACGGAGTCATGTGGACACGCAGAGCTCTCATAGTTTGCTTCCGAACTGAATCCTCTGGAGGCTTCCTAGACGGGGTCCGAGTACATGGGGTCGAAGGATGGCGCCGCATCGCCGATGTATCACCGAGACATCGTCGATGCATCGTCGATGCATCGCCGATACATCGACGATGCCTCGGCGACGTCGGCGATGCGTCGGCGATGCGTCGGCGCAGAGAGGATCGTGCTCCAAGTCGAGCTGCATCGTCGGTGCAGCGGCGATGCGGCGCGACTCTCCGACCCTATCTACTCTTAAGTCGGGTGTGTCCTCCTACAGGGGGATTTTAGGCGAAAAATCAAAAATACTGAAAAAATGCCCCCCAAATGCCAAAGAGTATTTTTAGAAATCGTCCCCTGAGTACTTTTTGACTATTTTTGAATATCCCCCCTGTAGAAGGACACTCCCGACTTAAATCTACTCCAACCCCATCTAAGACCCAATACGGCCCCCCCGAAAGTCCCGACTCATTCCCCCGGGACCGTTCACCATCCTGAGCCGTCTTCTGACGTTCCCGCGGCCCGGCGAGGGCCTCTATAGAGGCCAAAAACGGCGAAAGACCTCCGCCTTGATTTTTTCAATGCGTTGGATCTCTGGGGAAGCGAAAAAATCCTCAGGAAGGAGCACCGGGGATCCGGGGGCCGTATTGAAATCACGACATCGGATCTCTGGATCCCAGATGGGGTTGGAGTAGATGGGGTCGGAGAGTTGCGCCGCATCGCCGATGCACCGCCGATGCTACGCAACGAAAGTGTATATAGAAGAAGGCGCGCTCCACCACTCGGAGAGGAACGACTCGCGAGTGGCCTGGATCCGCCGCGGGGGTTTCACGATCCAATGCATCGAGGCAAGCATGTGTTTTTTAGACGGTTGCGAGTAGGCACTTTGCGAGTAGTGGAACGCGCTTGGTGAATGCTTACAAATGCGCCCGCCGACTAGTTTTCCCTGCGCCTTCAAGAGAGGGTGCCTGTGCATAAAGTCGCTGGCTGGCAGTGGTGATCTCTACGCCGCCATCCTCCCAATGAGGCCCAGGAGCAATTCACTGGAGGGTTTCGGTGTATACCTTTTCGTTAGAAGTCAAGGAAACCACCCCCATAATAACCACCCCGACACGCGAAGTCGTTTAGAAAACGCGTCCACAGAAGGAATCGGACAGGGCAAGGCTGTTTAGTAAACGCCTAGGGCCGTTTAGTAAACGCCAATTGTCCGGTCCGGGTGGTTTTTCCTCCCATGATTCGTGGCGGAGGTGCATCGCCGTTGCATCGCCCATGCATCGGTGGATGTGGCGCGATCCTCCGCCCCGTCTGCTTGGATCCTGTTTGGGAAGCCTGGCAGATCACACCGGGGGTCCCAAATCCAGTGCAGGCGCCACGGTGCGACCATGCCCCCTCCTAGGCAGTCAATCTTCCTCCTCCTCCTCCTCCTCCTCCTTCTCCTCCTCCTCTTCCCCCCCTCTCTGGCGCCACGCTCTACGCTGTGCCCGCATGCCGTGACGCAGAACTCGGACACGGCCCGACCGATGGCAAGGACGGGGTAGACTGGGGGGCGGCCAGATGGAGTTCGAAGACGGTCGGGTGGCCGATATCAGATCGCACAAGGTAAGCAACGCCATCCGTCTGACCCGAAGTTGCCCGACCGATGTCGAGACAGGGAGGACTCTGGTGCGACCAGACCGAACTCTAAGACGTGCGAGGACGGGGCCCGTGCTCCGTGCCATGTGTGGACTGCCTTCAGGCGCCACTCCAACGCGGTACGGTGCACAACTGTTCGGCCTTGAGGGCAGAACAAAGTAAGCACCGCTCCTTTCTCGGGTCGAAGAACGACGACGCCTCGGGAGACGCCAACGCGACACGGTGCACACAAGTCGCCCGCGGAAAGACGGTCGGGTGGCCGATGTCAGATCGCACAGGGCAAGCAAAACCATCAGTCTGACCCGAAGTTGCCAAGACGTCCGTAGGGAATCGAGACGCGGCTAGCATCACGTGCCTGTGGGCCATGAGGTTCAACTCGAACACTGGGGGCGATGTCAGCTCCTTGGAGAAAGCGGCATAACGCGTGTCAGAATTGTCCAATGCAACTGTTCTGCATGTACCGCTCCTCCTCATCACTTGCCACCCCCCAAACAGTCATGAAACGACACGCCAAAGCAAGCACACATGTCGTGCTCTCTCTGTACTCCATAGCGTGCCAGAAAGTAAAACGTATGCGGCACAGGGTAAACATGCACTCGAAGAGATAATTGCATCAGACATTCTGGGATTCGTGACCCCTGTGCCACTTGGATGAGGCGTCATTGGATCTGCACTTACACGTATTTGATAACCCACACCCACAGACGATTCATGCTATGATCCGTTTTTCAAATCCACGGGATTACATATTCTGGATCAACTTGGCGAAGCTGCTGGAGTGTGATCGAACTGGCGGCTGCAATGGGCGATTTCCTTACTCGCTGCCCCACTTTCGGGGCATTCGCGTGCCGAGATTGCGTGTTGAGAGTCGCGCGGAAATCACATCAACGCGACACATCGCAACTGAACTTCTTCGAACGGGACACCCGCGCGCAAGAGAGCACCGGGATTGCGGGGTCTTTCCTGTGATTGTTTTTTCGCACAATCCGCCCAGCATATGACCAGACAACCGTTAAGGGCTCAACGTGTTCTGCCGTCCCTCGACCCGCGCTGGAGCGACCAGAAGTTGCTCAAAATGATTCTGAAAATCTTTCAGGTTACCTGGATTTACCCAGATCTAACAGGACATACCTGGATGTATCTCGATGTATGTGCCTCCATCTTGAAGTGCCCCACTCGATCCCCACGAGTCGATTGGCGAGAAGTCTTCAAACCCTTAAGGAGACACTCGTAAACTTTTAGCCCGCCTCGGAGCGAACCGGAGGGGCACCTCCCTGGAGGTCTCTGGCAATCCCTCGAGGCATCCCCGAATCCCCGAAGGCCTCTGGAGGTCCGTACTGGAAGGACATTCCCCGCCAGAGATCCCCAGCAGGAGGCCCTCGGAGGCCGCGGAAGCCCCCAGAGGGGGCCCCAGACCGCGGAAGGATCTGGACCCTGACGCCGCCATCGAGATCTGCAGCAGCTGCAGAGCTCCTCAGCACCACGTGAGCTCGGCAACCGCCGAAAGCACCAGTCTGCAGCTTCGAGGGCGCCGAGATCCAGGCCTCTGAAAACCATAGCGAACACTCGTGCCACATCCATCGGTCAGCGCCTCCCCCTCCCCCCAAGTGTTCAAAGTGGGCGGTGGGTGCGAGCGCGTCCCCCTCCCCCCAGTATTCAAAATTGGTGGTGGGTCTCATGAGCTGAACTTCGGCCGCGGTCTCTTCCGCGCGTGCCAACTTTGAATTTGGGGGAAAGGGGCGTGTCCATGAATTCTTTCCCTCTGCCGTCGGCGCATCAGCAGAGGGCTCCCGTCGACCCTGCCCGCGCTGGCTGCCAGAACCCCCGACACCAGGATTGCCTCACGAGGTCTGTCGGGGCTCAAGAGACGGGGGGGCGGCAGGAGGAGGAGGAAGAGGAGGGGAGGGGGACAAGCTAGGTGCGCTCGCGTCATATCTGACGTCCTACCCCTCCCTCCAATCCCTCACCATGGCGTAGATCTCCTCGCTATTCGCACAATCGGAAGGTCGTATCAGGGCATTGCATTACATGGCATAGCATGGTGTTGAAGAGCAACACATAGCCTGACATACCATGGCGCGGCAACGCCCTAAAGTGGGGGGATTCTGCGGCCCAGAAAATAAACGATTCGACACCGAATGTGGAATCACTTCCGATGGTTGTTTCGGGGGAGGATTTTCTAGATTTTGGCGCCTATTTGGCAGGACCCGAAACCGTGCCGTGGCATGGCGCTGAAAATCATGACGCCAGCGCTGCAGCGGGAGCACGATTCGGACCGAGCGGAAGCGCAGAAATGAGGCCAGCGTTGCAGCGGGAGCACGATTCGGAGGACGCGTAGCCTGACATAGCATGGCGTGGCGAGGCCCCAAAGTGGGGGGGGGCTTCTGCGACCCCAAAATTCGACGAACCGGCACCGAAAATAGAATCACTTCCGATGGTTTTTGCTGGGGGCGGCATTTTCTAGATTTTGGGGCAAATTTGGCAGGACCGAAAATCATGCCGTGGCAGGGCGCTGGAAATAATGATACCAGCGCTGCAGCGGGAGCACGATCAGGAACGAGCGGAAGCGCAGAAATGAGACCACCGCTGCAGCAGGAGCACGACTCGGAACGAGCGGTAGCCCGAAACTGAGGGCATCGCTTCAGCCAGAGCAACTTTTACATAAGAACCGAGCGAAAACCCGCTTCCCAGGAATCCGGTGTAAAGAACCAGTACGCGGAAGGGGGGCCGAATATTTCCCGGACGTCGCCAGGGGAGAGAGGAGAGTAGTTTTCATGTTGTGTATTGATCGGGGATGGACAGGCCTCCCTTTTTTAATAAAACGTGGTTTAGTGAAAACGACCTGAGGCCCAGACCTGGCGGGCGCAAGCCTGGAAAATAACGGCCACGGCGCCATCTCGAGAACCGAAAACGGACAATTCACTAATCGACGTGTCACTGTTGGGGGTTCTGTCCACCCCCGAATTGAAGAAGGGGGCGGAGGGAGGGGGAGGGAGGGGAGGAGGCCCTGCCTGCCCCCCCTTCCTCGGGACACCCGGTCGACGACCACCCCACGCGCCCATGCCTCCGTGAGCTCGCGCGCCGAAGCGGCGGTGCCGCTATACGGTTGAGCAGGCGTCCCCGAGCTTCCCTCCCCTCCTCCTCCTCCTCCTCCTCCTCCTCCTCCTCCTCCTCCTCCTCCTCCTCCTCCTCCTCCTCCTCCTCCCCCTCCTCCTCCCTCCTCGTGTCGCTCACCTCCGCCTGGCGGGAGGCCGAGAGGAACGTGCAAACGGGGGAACAAGGGCCGCCGTCGGGGAGCAAGGGGCGCGCGAACGGGGGTCAGTCAGAGCGCCGGATCTTGCAGGGGGTGCAGTGATAAAACGAGGCGAAGATCGGGACAAAATCGGATCGGGCTAACTCGAAATCTCTGAGAATCGGCGGGTTTGGAGGATGTATTGGGCGCCGCGGCCGCTCCAGAGCGTTCCAGAACGCTCTGAGAGCGCTCCGGAACGCTCTGGAGCGATTTATCCCGATCCTAGCCCTGTTTTAAGTGACCTGGGTCTGGGTGCAGGATCCTGCAGAGCCAGGGGTGCAGTGACCCTGGCCCAGGTCTGAGTGCAGGATCCCGGAGGATCCTGCAGGACCCTGCAGGATTTTGCAAGGCCTGACTGGCCCGGGTCTGGATTGACCCGGGTCAGCAAGCAGATCCCCCAGGTCTGGACCCGTTCCCCAGGGCCCGTTTTTTTCACTCCGAGCCATTTCTGACGGTTCCGGGGCGCTGCGAGGGCAAGCAGGGGCCGAAACGAAAGCAAGACCCCCGGCAGCATGACTTGTTCGTGAGGTCAGGGCCCCTTCCCCGGGACGGCCGGCTTGTCACCCCGAGCCGTTTTTGACGGTCGCGCGGGGGCCCCGCGAAGGCAACCAAAGAGCACAAACCCCCCTGACATCGTGATCTGATCGTGAGGTCTGGGCCCAGTCCCCCAGGACCGGCTTTTCACCCCGGACCGATCTTCACGGTCGCGCGGGGCCCCGCGAAGGCAAGCGGGGGCCGAAAAGACAGCAGAGCCCCTGGACATCATGATCTGATCATGAGGTCTGGGCCCACTCCATGGGACTGGTCTTTCACCCCGAGCCGTTTTGGACAGTCCCAGGGGGGCCCCGCCAGGGCAAGCGGGGGCGGAAAGAAGGCAGAGCCCCCGATGTCACGATTTGCTCGTGAGGTCTGGACCTGCTCCCCAGGACCAGTTTTTCACCGCGATCCGTTTTTGGAGGGAGGAGGGAGGAGGGAGAAGGGAGGGAGGGAGGGAGGGAGGGAGGGAGGGAGGGAGGGAGGGAGGGAGGGAGGAGGAGGAGGAGGAGGAGGAAGAGGCGGAGGAAGGGGAGGGGGAGGGGGAGGAGGAGAGAGGGGAGGAGGAGGAGGAGGAGGAGGAGGAGGAGGAGGAGATGGGGAGGAGGGGAGACGACGAGGAGGAGGAGGACGACGAGGAGGAGGAGGACGACGACGAGGAGGAGGAGGACGAGGAGGAGGAGGAAGGCAGAAACAGAGGGGGGCCCGCGCAGGGCGGGCTGGGAGGGGGCGGCCTGGCGAGGGCAAGCGGGGGCCGAACAGACAGCGTACACCTCCCGCCGCGAATCTCTCACGGCCCGAAGGGGCCTGGGTCAGCCGCCGACCCTGCCCGACCCGCGTGTCTCGATCAGGGAGTCGACGACAGAGTGGATCTGTCCCAAGTTTGACTTCCTCGTCGAGTCGTAGAATGTTCGTAGATCCGGGAACATTCTGCGCATGCCGCACGGGCTCGACGAAGACATCAGGCTTGGGGTATACCAGTTCTGCCGTCGATCCCCTACTCGAGCATCGGCAGCCTTAACCATCCGCCCGCGAGGGTCCCCGCCGCCGCGCGGGCGCGCCCGTCGCGGCCGCCCCAGGGCCCTGCGCCTTCCGCCCTGGGGGCTATATCCGCGGGGTCGCTGGCCGCCCCGCGCCCGCAGCGGGGCCACCAGAAGTCCCCGGCCAGACAGAGGTCCCCGGCAGGAGGCCCTCGGAGGCCCAGATCCAGACCCCCTACGTCATGATTAAGTCGGGCGTGTCTCCCTCCAGGGGGATTTTGGGCGAAAAATAAAACAAATATTCAAGAAATACCCCCCCAATACTAAAAATAGTAACAACAAATCGTCCTCACACTATGTTTTACCATTTTTTGAATATTCCCCCTGTAGAGGGACACGCCCGACTTAACGTCATGAAATTTCGTGACGTCGACCCTCAAGGCGAAACAACGGTCCCGAGTCGTTGTTTGACGGTCCCCCTGGGCCCGGTGGGGCCCCCCGAGGCCGACAAGAAAGACACGCCTCCCGTTCTGATTCTCTCATGCCTCGAGGAGGAGGAGGAGGAGGAGGAGGAGGAGGAGGAGGAGGAGGAGGAGGAGGAGGAGGAGGGGAGGAGGAGGGGAAAGGGGAAGGGGGAGGAGGAGGAGGAGGAGGAGGAGGAGGAGGAGGAGGAGGAGGAGGAGGAGGAAGAGGAGAAAGAGGAGGAGGAGGGCGAGGAGGAGGAGGGCGAGGAGGAGGAGGGCGAGGAGGAGGGCGAGGAGGAGGAGGAGGAGGAGGAGGAGGAGGAGGAGGGGTCCTGGGAAGGGGGGCCCACGACCGCGCACCTCGATCCTGCTGCCGCCGACGCCCGCCCCTTCAAGAGGCCCCGCCGACCCGGACCGCGCACGGGTCGACCGAAAGCCCGCCGCGGCCCCGGCGCCCTGCGCCTCCCGCCCCGGCGGCTCCGCAGAGTCGCCGCCCCACGCCAGCACCTGGAACGAGTGGCCCTCGTCCACGCCTCGCCTCGCGCCGAGGAGCGCCTCGCGGCGGGGGCGGGGGCGGCCACTGCGGGGGAGGCCCTGCGATCCGACGCTGCGAAAGAAAAACACGAAGTCCGACTGAAAAGCCACGACCGGAGCCCCGGACACCATATCTCTGCGCCAACGTTGCTCGAGCTGGCTCGACTTGCGTGGGCCCCGGGGCCCGAAGCTCGGCAAGCACGCCCGGTGTGGACAAATCGCGTGTGCACGTTGTCCACACCGGGCGTTGCAGAACGCCAGGATCTCGGGGGAGGAAGGCCCCGTCCTCCCCCTCCTGAGGCCCTCGCCGAGGAGCGGCCCGAGCGCCTCGCCCGCCACGCAGCGAGCGCCCAGGCCGACCGCACCGCACGCGCAGAGGCTGCACGCAGTGGCGCCCTGGGCGAGGCCAGGCGCGGCGGCCCCCTGCGCGCAGGCCGACGGGCGGCCTTGCTCACCGAACGCGGCACTCGCGCCACCGCCTGCGCCCTCAGAGATTCGACGCCCCAGCAACAATTTCAATCTCAGGAGGAGAAGGAGGAGGAGGAGGAGGGCGAGGAGGAGGAAAAGGAGGAGGAGGAGGAGGAGGAGGAGGAGGAGGAGGATGAGAGGAGAGGAGGGGGATGAGAGGGAGAGAGAAAGGGCGAGAGGAGGAAAGGGCGAAGGAGGAGAGAGGGGGCGGGGAGGAGGAGGACGGGAGGAGGTGAGGAGGAGGAGTAGAGGAGGAGGAGGGATGAGGAGGAGAGGGAGGGGATGGAGCGGGCGTTCTTTATGCTTTCCAATGTTCAGCCTCCGGGGGGCCCTCGCCGGCTCCCTCCCTCCCTCCCTCCCTCCCTCCTTCCCCCCTCCCTCCCTCCCTCCCGCCCTGGGAGCGGCAAAGAACGACCTGGGAAGGAAAGCCTATAGACCTAGGGAAGTGGTCCAAACCCAGGGTGCCCATGCAGCGAAAGAATTGGAGCGGCCGGACGTCTGGGTCCCACCGCGCCTGGCCGACGCTGGCTCTGCGCCCGCAGGGTTGCCTCGTCCCCTGACCCCCGACGTCATGATCATTTGTTCATGACGTCGACCCCCAAAGGTCTGGACCCATTCCATGGGACTGGTCTTTCATCTTGAAACGTTTTTTGACGGTCCCGAGGCCCAGTAGGGGCCCCCAGGGGCTGAATATAGCGGAAAACCTCCATCATGTTTTTTTCAATGCGTTGGATCTCTTGGTTCCCCAGAGATCCGATGTCGCGATGTTATCAATGCGGGGTCCCCCGAAATCTCGACCCATTCCCCGGAACGGGCTTTCTTTTATCCTGAACCTGTCTTTGACGGTCCCAGGGCCCGACGAGGGCCCACCATTGTGCCCCACCCACGCGCGCACGGAGGACGCAGGCAGTCTGGCCTCTGTCCCGACCCCCCTCAGTTGCTCATCGTCATCGTTTCCTCCGTGTGCGCCATCGCTCCCTTACCTCATGTGAGGGGCAACGATAGGGGAGGACTGGCATAGGGGGGGATGCATCGACCTGGAATCGGTGATACATCGCCGATAGATCGGCGATAGGCCTTCGATAGTGAATCCGCACCTTCCTGGGCAGGTTGGGGCTATCGGGCCCCTATCGACGAGCAATGGGCGATTGGAGGTTGATGCATCCCCTCCTATGCCTATCCATTGTCTAACCGCGCTATCTGGCACCTAGCCCACCAGCATCTGGCACCCAGGAATTAAGGTTCATAACTGATAATAAAATCCTCGCGCGTCGTCCTCGCCAGAGGTGGTACTGCCCTCCTAGGCCCTCCTCCAGGCCCTCCTCCAGGCCCTCCTCCACCTCGCCCATGGGCCCTCCGTCGCCCTCGCCCTCCTAGGCCCTCCTCCTCCTCCACCTCGCCCATGGGTGCCCACACTCGCTCTCTCCCTCACGCAGTCCCATCGCCCCCCTCGCCATCGTCGTCTTCGTCGTCATCGTCATCATCACCGCCACCATCATCCCGACACCCCCTTCTTCTCCCTCCTTCCCATATCTTCCGCTCTTCTTTTTTCTTCTCGACATCTAACCAGGTCTGTCATGGGCTCTGTCTGGGCTGCTGCACTGCGTCCTCATCTAGCCCCGCCTCCTCATCATATCCTAGCCCCGCGCTGCTCCTGGCGACTAACTACGTACCTAGTAGCCCCGCTCCTCACTCACTGCATGAGGATCTTCACCCTGCGCACGCGCCGGTAGGTCCCATTACTAGAGTACTGGTAATGCTCGTCGCCGTCGTAGCCCCCTGTGCCGAAAACCACGGTGACGTCGTGGTCGAAGTAGTAGTCAGTCTGAAACTGAAACCACTTAGCTCCGGACTGGTAGGCAGCCTCAGTAGCCTTGGAGTGGTGGCCCCAGAAATCCACCCAAGCGCCATCCACCCAGGAATCCTCACAGCCCCAGCAGCTTTCAGCGAACTGCCAAGTGATGGCAGTAGCCTCGTCGTTGCTGATGCGCTTCGCATTATTAGCCCCCCACCAGCAGTTCCAGCGGCAGCAGCCCGCCCAGCACATCGTTTAGCGCCTAGTTGTAGCGCCCAGTATGTTAGCGCCTGGCGTGCGTCAGGCCAGCAGCTTGAGCCACTAGATGCAACCAGCAGCAGCAGCAGCGGGCGTAAGGGGTGGAGCGGCGGCGGCGGAAAGGGGGGGCATCTCGTTGGGGGCTATAATATTTGCGAAGGGGGGGGGGTCGACGACGCCAGGGGGGGGCTATGTGGGTGGCAAGCCCACGAGCATACGGCACGTCCGTCCATAGGGCCCTCGCCACAGCAGGCATCGCCACATACCAAGCAACCCATCAGGTCGTCCTGGACCATGGGGCCCTGGCCCATCCATGGAGCCCTCGCCCTCCGCCGCGACCTTCGCAGAGACTCCGACATTCATGGGCTCCTCGCCCACAACCGCCCTCCTCCTCAGCCTCCTCCTCCTCCCACTCCTCCGACTCCTCCTCGCCTCCTCCTCCCCCTCCCCCTGGTCACCGCCATCGTCATCGCACCCATCGCCATCGCCATCGCCATCACCCTCCCCACTCATCGCTATCGTCGCCATCATCATCACAATAATCATCCACCTCTCGTCGCTCTCCCCCCTCCTCCTCCTCCCCCTTCCTCCCCCCTGCTTCTTCCTCATCGCCACTGCCGCATAATGATTCCTTTGCTGCGTCGGCATCAGCATTATTGCAACCGCTGTTGCCCCCACCATGACAGGCCGCCGTTGCTTTCCGCATCGCCTTCTTTTCGTCACCATCGCCATCATCACCACAGCATCATGATCACCGGATCGTGTTCCTCATTATTTGTTTTTTTTTTTTTTGCTCTGCATCACGATCTGAACAGTGCTCTTCTTCTTCCTTCTACCCCCCCATCCTCGACCTCCTCCACTTCTTCCTCCACCTCCTCCTCCCTCCCCCCCTTTTCCTCCTCCTCTCCTTCCTCCCCCTTTTCCTCCTCTCCCTCCTCCCTCCGTCCTCCCCCATCCTCCTCCTCCTACTCGTCCTCCTCCTCCCCGTTCTCCTCCGCCTCCTCCCCCATCCCCCTCCCTCTCCTTCCTCCCCCTGCTCCTCCTCCTCTTCAACCTTCTCCTCCTTCCTCCTCCTCCTCGCCCTCCTCCTCCTCCATCTCCTCGTCCACCACCTCCAGTGCAGCGCGCGCTGACAAAGCTGCCCCTGGCGCGAGCCCCCCTGAGCCTGCCCAAGGCTTGGTGGGGTAGCTGCAGGCAGGGGGGCATCATCCTCCACCATGGCTCACCACATGCAGAAGACGGAGCTCTGCCGGTTCAGAGGTGAAAATTTCCCCAGGCAGGGGGATGGGATGGGGGCGGGACGGACGACGACGGAGCCCATCATCCCGCCCCCGCCCTGCCCCCCCTGCTGGGGGTAAGTTTCACTTCTATGAGGTTCTATTGGAACAGCTACAGCGGGGCTAATATGCGCTGCAGCCGCGGCGACCGCTGCGGGTGCCCTTCCCGCGACGGGCCAGGCAGGGCGGACAGGAAGGCTTGAGGTGGGACGGCGTCTCGGGCCTGCAGGGCTCAGTGGAGGGTGGTCTGGCCGGCCTCCGCCTGCTGCTGCTGCTGCTGTTGCTGCTCCCCCCACTGGAGTGAGGAGGAAAGGGGTGGTGGGACGAGAGGGGCCTCCCCCTGACGATGAGACGACTACCATGCTTTTTATACCCGAAGGCTAGGGGCAAGAAACAGTACCGAGTTCAAAGGCAAACAAGACGACGCGCGAAGAATCATCTTCTCGCACTCCCCATCCGCGGGCTTCAGCAACACCGCGCCGGTGAAATGCATGATGCGTGGGCTTATATCCCTCGCGGCCCCAGGGGGCTTATAATGCGTGAACACACAGAAAAAAAAGGGCGGGCCCCATGGGGGGCATCATCCACAGGCAGGGGGATGCGCTTGTCCAAGGCAAGCGCATATTCAATTAAATGAAGAGGAGGAGCAGGAGGAGGGGCCAGGAAGAGAGAGGAGCAGGAGCAGGAAGAAAGGATCAAGCCATAGTTGATCTCTGACTGAAGTACATGCAGTATTTGCACGCGGCAGCAGTGCATGCATCATATACATGTTCACCACCCATGCATATACATATTTGTGTACATATACGTATTCACATACATACGTTGGCATTTACATAATATGTTCGTCTGATGTTGTTACGCGCGAGTCCCTGCGACAACTCAGAAGCATATGCATATACGCGTACTGACACATGTGTAAACACACGCGCACATCATGCACATACTACCTCGACATGCACACCACACACATCACACACATCACATACACGCGCAGTGCCAGGAACATCGCCGGAAACGCCAGGGAAAGCCCCGCCTCGTGGCCCAAAGACAGCCCAAGACAGGCTGGCCCAGCCAAGACGCGAGAATAGTTGCCATTGCAATGGGGGGGCTAACTAAGAAGTCAGGAGGGCAGCTGAGTTGTTGCCCTGGGGGGCGGGGGGGGGGGGGCGGGCGTTCCCAGGTGCGCCCGCTCGATGGACGAGCTCATGGTCGCCCCATGGAACGCGACCCGTGGCATCCACTACAAGATAGCATGGGCGCTCTGCGCACCCCCGCCGCCCCGCCGCCTGCCGGGCCTGGGGCATCGTGCGCGCTCGCATTGATTGGCGCGTAGCGCAACGCAGGATGAGGCCGCCACCTCCGGAAGAACCCGCGCGGGGGGCTGGGCGGGCGAAGCGACAGGAACGCAGGCGATGGGTGGGCGGGGGGGAGGAGGAGGAGGAGGAGGAGGAGGAGGGAGGAGGGGGAGGCAGGAGGGAGGAGGGAGGAGAAGGGCAAGGAGGAGGAGAGGACGGGGGGGGGGGGGGATGGGGGGGCGGAGGAGGGAGGGGGGGGAGGGGGGGGGGGAGAGGAGGGGAGGGGGAGGAGAAGGGGGGAGGAGAGGAAACATAGGGGACGAGGAGATGGGGGGGGGGATGGGGGGGGGGGGGCGGGGGGGGGCAGAGAGGGGGCGAGGAAGGGGGGGGGGAGCAGGGATGGCAGATTCGGGGGGGGGGCCTGCGGGGGGGAGGAGGTTGGAGGATGGCGACGGATGAGAAGGGGGGCGACGACGCGGGGGGGAATTGGAAGGGGGCAGGAGGAGGAGGAGGAGGAGGAAGAGGAGGAGGGGGGGGGCAGGGGGAGAAGGAGGAGGAGGAGGATGGGGGAGGGGGATGAGAAGGATGAGCATGAAGATGATGATGCAGGTGAGGAGGAGGATGATGATGAGGAGGAGGAGATGCAGCAGCAGCAGGGGGAGGAGGACAGGGGCAGCATGAGGAGGAGGAGGAGAATGAGGAGGAGAAGGAGAAGTAGGAGGAGGAAGAGTGGTGAGGATGATGGGCGCCTCCAACCAGTCGCGCCCAGAAGGAGGGCAGGTTGGACTCTTCGGCAACTGGCGCGCTGGTGTCGACTCCGACCAGTGGGTGGAGGACGCGGGGCTACAACGCTGCGCAGCGGGGGGGGGGCACGCGCTGCCACCCTGGGACGAGAGAGACGACGGGGAAACGAACGACAGCAGGGCGCAGGCAGCAAGCAGGGGGGGGGGGCGGATGGGGCCGCCGAGAGGACAACCGCGAGGCGCTTCGCCGACACAGGCGTGACCCGGCGCCATGGGACATGACCAGGCGAGCTGCGGGGGAGGAGAGGGAGGTGGGAGAAAGAGAAGGAGGAGGAGGAGGAGGAGGAGGAGAAGGAGGAGGAGGAGGAGGAGGAGGAGGAGAAGGAGGAGGAGGGGGAGGCGGAGGAGGAGCAGGAGGAGGAGGAGATGAAAGAGAGCTAGGAGGGGGAGGAGGAGGAGGAGGAGAAGGAGAGGAGAGTGGAGGTGGGAGGAGGAATGGGAGGAGGAATAAGCTGACGACAGAAAGAACGACGACGACAGAAAACGACCGATGAAGAGGAGGGGGAGGAGGAGGAGGAGGAGGGGGGGGAGGAGGAGGGGAGGAGGAGGAGAAGGGCAAGGAGGAGGAGGATGGGGATGGGGGAAGGAGGGGGAGGAGGGGGGGGGGAGGAGAGGGCGAGGAGGATAAGGATGCTGAAGATGGGGATGAAGGGATGATACGGCGCGGGGAGTCGCGGCCGCGCGGCGTCCACCTCGAGGCCCCAGCAGCTGCCTGCCAAGAAGGCAGGCGCGGCGCCCGCCACGACAGCAGGGCCTGCGGCGGCGGCAGTGGCGACGCCCGCCGTTACAGGGCCGCAGCGGCAGCGGCGGCCCCCCCCCAGGACGGCGGCGGCCGTCTTCGTCGCGTTCGCGGCTGGGGCTGCAGCGCCCAACAGCCCCGTCGCTCTCGCGGCAGACGCAGTCGCCTCCTCCTCCTCCGCGAGGGAGGCGCGCCTGCCTGGCAGGCGGTCCTGTAGATGGATGGGGGCCAGGCAGGCCATGGCAGCGGCGGCCCAGAAGGCTGCAAGGCTGCGTTCGACGACCAGGTCGCTGATTTGGCCGAGATGGTCAGGTTGGCTGGCGGGGAGGGGGCTGAGAAGAAGAAGGCCAAGAAGGCGGCCGCCTTCCAAGGCGGACATAGCGCGCAAGACAGCGCTGGCTGCGTCAGGCGCAGCGTCGCGGGCCAAGCAGGCCGCCGCAGAGGAGGCGCTGGCGCGCTGGACAGCGTCGCCAAACTAGGCCGGGGTTCCAGGGGGGAGGAGGGGTCGAGGAGGAGAGGAGGAGGCGAAGAGGAGGAGGGGGACGTGGAGGAGGAGGAGGAGGATGGGGGGCTGAGGACGTGCGGGGGGGGGAGGAGGAGAAGGAGGAGGAGGAGGAGGAGGAGGAGGCCACCTCCGAAAGTACAGAGAAGTACCTTGGAAAGGGGAACTAATTGAAAGAGGAGGCGGGGGGGGGTGGAGGGATTGGGGAGGGGGGGGGGGAGGGGGGGGAGGAGAAGCAGGATGAGAAGGAGCAGGATAAGGAGGAGCAGGAGAAGGGGGAGAAGGAGACGGAGGAGGAGGCGCCGCCATTGCCCTCAGGCCTGATGAGGCGCCTGCCCGCGACGCCTGGGGCCCGCCGCCAAGGCAGTCTTGGGGGCGGCGGCGGCCGGCACCGACGACGCCGCCGCGGCGGCCGCTGCCGCGGGAGCACTCGCGGCAGCGGCGACGCCGCGACGATGCAGGTGATGATGATGATGCCCAGGACTGCCACCCGGAGGGGGGGGGGCTTAGGAATACTGATTGTTTGCAGGCGGGGCTAAAGAATGCAGATTTTGGGCGGGGCTCTGGAACTTGGGCGCTGGCGATGATGGGCCTGCCGTTCTCGCATGATGCTTGGGCTTCTCCCGGTCGCTCGGGCTTCTCCTGGTCGCAAGGAAGTGAATTTCAACAGAGAAAGGGGCCACTGCTGCTCTCCTCCCCTGCCCCCCCCCCTCCGCCTTGTTGCGGCGTCCAATGCGACGCCGC